GCATATTTACATTTAAATGCATTTATGCATCAGTTACTGCATATGTATACATGTATCAGTTTGCATGTCGTTAAAAAGAGAGAGGGAAAAAAACGTTTGAAAATTTTATTTATTACAGCTTAATTAAAATGCATGCGTGCCTAAAATATTCCATTTTTTATTGGAGTAATCGTATAGATCTTTCGTAATTATCTCTCAGCGAATCCGTCGTATTTACACTTTCATCAGTGTACTACGTAAAACTGTGTAATCTGTATAATTGCACAAGCTCGTCCTTTCTACACTCCGGTCTAATTTTCTACACTTATTTTCTTACTTCCCTTTGTAAAGCGTGAGCGCGTTTTATTTTAATCGCAGGAAGTACAAAAAGATGCAGCTAAAAAAAGAACGACCCTTGTTAGTAGCAGTTATTACATTCTTTATATTCCATTGTGTAATTCTCTCTTCAATGCATGACAGCTGTTAGCGCAAGAAATGTCAATTTTTGTCATCTAGCAATTATATAATAGTGTAATAAAATAATAAATAATAATAGTACAATAAAATAATAATAATAGTGCAATAAAATAATAAATAATAATAGTATAATAAAATAATAATAATAGTGCAATAAAATAATAAACGTGCAGAAATTATATCGTAATGAAGAAATGTATAGAAACAGGGAAATTACGCTTTCATTAATTTCGCGAGTGAATGCGCCCGGAAAGATTTTCGTTCTAACCGAGACGGTTCCGTGCCGAGGCGAACAAACTGCCGATTACGTTACGGCTTCTTCCGCGCTACCTGTTCTCAGACTCTTGGAAATTAATTTCGCAGGGGGATCGTCCGGGCGGATCATCCTCCGGGGGATTATCCGCTTCTACAAGAATCCGTTTCTATGAGAAATTTCTTTTTCGTTTACGTGTTTCCCTCTCGCGAGGGAACATCTTTTTCGCAACTTTTCCCTTTCGCCCATTCGCGCACGAGAACGAATTCCATCTTACGCTCCGAGATTACCACTCTTCTTCCTTCCAATCTTACTTTCAAGCAACTGGTTAGATCAATCAAAGACTTGGCGTTATAAAGGATTGCGTTTGTTCCATATTCTCGTAATTATCTTTTATATCGAAGTTTTTTTTTTTTGTCTAAGGATTTAAATAATCAAAGTTAAAGCCGTAAAAGATTGCGGACATCATTTTTGAAAACTTGCTATGGTAACGCGAATGTAAAGAGAATATACACTTGTAAATTAGTTAAAAATATTTTTAAAAGAGGAGTAATATTTTTTAACATTTTAAAAATCAATTTTTATATCAATTCTCAATATTTTAACGGCAAACAAAAAATATTTGAAAAAACTTGGACTGCAACTCAATCTGAATATGTATAAAAAAAACATAATTGATGGAATATAATATTTATTTAAAAGAATTATCGAAGTATGTGTATATAAAATCTGGACACCAGGTAAAATCCAGGGTATAACCCAGAAAACTAAATATTTATTTTTATGGTTTGAAAAGGGAATATATAATGTAGATATCTCGCATTCTGTTGCATGCCGGGATAATGAAACTGAATGGGATTTGCAGGGCGCGAGTCGTCTCTGTCGTTCTGAGAGTGCCTGTCGGGGAAATGGCTCTCTTTTCCATTTCTCCCGGCGATCGCAGATACGTCGAGCGTCGACGTTTAGCACTGTTCGTTGTTCCGTTAACATTCTCCTCCACGCGTTCGCAGCCGCTTCGAAACAATTAACTGTCATGCGAGTGAGCGTACGCGCGCGGAATGAAAAGAGGCAGAGGCTGGAACGGCTGGCGGGCGCCGTAGGCGGTTTGTATTATCTTCCACGTCTCACGATTGTTATTGTCTCGCGAGCAACGCGATACTTTCGTTGTAGATAGCTTGTTGTCGGCTTCGAAGCCGCTCGATTCCGCGCCCCGTGTACCGGATGAGACGTGATTGCGCGGAGGATCGTGTGTCACGACGAAGATTTAACTTTAACAATAAAATATATTGTCTAGAGTTATCTTTTAGCGTTTTCGAGTGAAGCAAGTTTGATGAAGTCTATCGATGACGTAATAAATTCGTAACGTCATAAATTTCGTCTTGGGTTACTAGGGATACTTGGATTATGAGATTAGTAGTCAATGAAATGTTTCGAGTAAGCGTTTGATATTTAATTAATCAGGGCAAAGAATCTTGTGCTTTAAAGTCAAAATAGCGTTAAATGAGATGTATTTCATATTATTTATATGATTAATGTATTATTTATATTAATCAGATTCAAAATCCATTTTCGGTCGAACATATATGTTCATGGCAAATTGGTTTTAATCTCTCAAAGCGATCAAACCTGCTTCACTCGAAAATGCTATATGTCTCTCTCTCTCTCTCTCTCTCTCTCTCTCTCTCTCTCTGTTTGTGTCTCTGTCTCTGTCTTGATATAGGGATTATAATAGTTCGATATCGCGATTATTTATGGTTATATGAATTATACGAATGGCATCAGGACTGTGAGTTCGTGTCTAGAATAATTTCGGATACGCCTGTCATGAAAAGTATACAGTAATATGAGTAATATCCGCGCTTTTCTCACGCGAAACACGTTCTCGGCTAAAGTCAGATCCATTTTACCTATGCGAAATGTTAGGAAAACAATTCAGGACTTAGCGGAGGCAGATGTTACTCAAACTAAACTAACAAGAAAATCAACGAAAATTCGATCTTGTTTTAATCGAAAGCGATTGTGGTGAAACTCAATCTTTTATTTATTACCTTTTCATTAAGCTTATAAGAACGCTATTTTTCATTTTGTGTATCTTACTGTTTATGTTACTTCCAGATAAAAAGTGAAACGAAGCTATAGATATACTCTCGACGTTGCTAATCTAATTTTTGAATGAAAAGGGCGGATAATTCATCTAAAACTGGTTGCATCAAAAGTTCTCTTCAATTTTTTTTCGCATTTATTTATTTTTGTAAAAATGCGAAAATATAGTAAAAAGTGTATGGTAAAAGAGAAAGAGATAGAGAGATATATACATGTGTACAAGCTCATTTCTTTATATGTGAAAATGCCTTTTATTTTAATGAAGAAATGAAACAAAATTATAAATAACGAAAGAAAACCCGAGAATATCCTTTTTACACAGTTCCGGATCGGTTTTGCGCGACCGCATCAGTCGATCGTGAAATACGCGATATTTTCATCGCGCGCCTTCGTTTGTGACACGCCGTTTATTTTGCGCCGTTGACCGCACTTTCATTGACGTACGAAGGTTATACGGAGTCCTTGTCGCGGTGGAATTTGAAGGGCCGACCTTGGGATTCTACCTGGTATCGGGCACGCCGGCCGGTCCTATCCAGGTGGTGGTGGCAGCACCAGGGAGATGAAACAAAAAGAGCCGCCGCACATCATTCGGTCCAGCAACGCTCTCCTCACTCGTTCTTCGCTCCTCGTATTTTCTTTTTCTCTCTTGCCAAGTGCTGGGAAAATCCAGGATTTAAGGAGGAACCGCACGGATCAGTTACGTCAAAAGTTAATCTAATACATTTTATAAATCTAATACATTTCGAGATTCATTAATTTGACATTATTTGACACAAAGCACTATATACTTTTTATTATATTTTTGTATTTTTACAAAGCATAAAATAAATTTTAAAATATAAATTTAGTAATTAATCTGTGAGTTAAAATAACGATTTGCCTCGTAGAATTAAAATTTTATTTTAATAAATTTGTGTCTACAGTCGCTATAAAAAAGTTTGTTCGATATAAAATAATATTTACGATTTTGAGATTAAATATATATTTAATATATATATATATATACATATAGATTATATTCTACATGACAAATCTTTAATTTAACTCATAAGTTTATTTATCTGGTATTCTGAAAAAAAGTATAGAAATTTATACATTTTTATACTCTTTATCGCAACGAAGTTATATATATTTGCATTTATTTGAATTTACTTATGTTTTTTAAATGAACGAAGGATTGGTATTAATACATATGATAATGAGATAATTTTACTCGATATTTTTCGGCGGTAATCTGTATTTTTTTTTGATAGGTAGATTACCAATGTTACTGAAATTATGAGGGAAAAGCTCTTTTATTCATCGAAAATTATATTATTATTTTTTTTTATTATTTATAAAAAAAGATATTTTGAGATTAAATATATATTTAATATATATATATATACATATAGATTATATTCTACATGACAAATCTTTAATTTAACTCATAAGTTTATTATTAATTTTATATTTCAAAAGACCAAAAATGTTTTGTGCTCAACGTCAAATTCATGGATTTTGAAATGTATTGGATTTACAATTTTTGACGTAACTGAAAAGAAGCGTTATATATAGCAACTAAACTAAAACGAGTGAAAAATGCTTAAAATGAATAGAATCACGATTTTCGGTCTTGATAATACAAATGACTTAATACTTTCTATACTCGTCGCATTCAGTGAACAAAAGATTATTTTTTATCTCGCGTTGATATTTGATTTTCAGATTAGCCGACTAAAATTCTTTGTATTTTTTTTTTTTTTTCTGTACAAGATATGAAAGATTTTTATTTTTACGTGTTTTATTTATCAACAGGAAATTTCAATGTATTTAACAGATTATACGTGAGCAATTTTTTTTCGAGCTTTTTATTTAGTTTTAGATCCTTCAAGCTCGACGTGAATTTTGCGATACATTTTATTACATATTTATATGAGAAAATTCATCTGAGATGACAGCAATATAATCTTTTTAATCTTTTACCTTTTACGCACGATTCGTGCGTTTTGCAAAAGCTTAGCGATATATTGCGGAAAAGTCAAAGGATGAAAGGCGTTGATTGAAAAGCCGATATTAACGCGCGATGTAATTAATCGTTGATTCGGCGTCTTATATCGTTCGTACCTGCTCCTTCGTTCCACATCGTTCTACCTTAACATACATCGGCACATTCGTATGCTTACGTGCATTTATCTTGTTGTTTCAGTTAGCAGTGGGCGGGGGTGGTGCTGTGCTGGTGCTCAGCGAGCTATTTTGACGTTGATATTTAAATGGATGTAAAAAAATGATGTAATTTCCACAAGTGGAGGATTTAAAAATATCCTTTTATCTAATTCGACACGACAAAATGTCTTTTTACTTTTTTTGCAATCTTTAATTATTTATTATTATAATATTTATCATTATTAAATTTAATATTATTATTTCAATTATTAAATTGCGAAAATTTTATTTTCATATACAATATTTATTATTTTTTGTATTTCAAAAATATCTCGATTTGAATGTTTGATACTGGGATAATAGGTAGTACACTTTTATTCAATATTCTATTGTACACTTTTTATTTAAAAGCACGTAACAAAAATCTAATCCGCAGCAAAATCATCATTTCTAATCAAATTTTCATATGAGAGAAATTGAAAAATTGTGTTTTACTTAATTCAAATTTCTATATATATATAGAATTTTTTCAATGTTATTATAAATGAATATTGACCATGTAAATTTTTTATTTATGGTATAGATCCTCCTGATTTTTTGCTTCTGAATTTCGTCCATCAAATCAATGATATATCTCGTTTTTTTGGCAAGAATCCGCAAAACTTCCTTTAATAATCGCGCAAGATTTATCATTCTCATATTTCAAAACCATAGGAACTCTTTGCTTTCAACTTTCGATCCTTTTAATTTGTAATCACGACGCCTGACTGGTGTTATATTGTCTTTCGCAAAGTCTTGAAAGTTTAAATAGCCAAACTCGTTGCAATTTACTGTAAGCTCAAATGGTTTGGTAAGAAATCTCTTCCGTCTAGAATAAAAAATTTCCTCGCGTAAACGTACACTTCCGCGTACGATTTCCCGGTGGACTTGAACTAATTTACTCTACAATGCAAGGGTACTCGGGGCCTTTTCGATGGACGAGAGTATTCTTGCGAAATTCTTCTCGTGATTTTCATTAATATATTTGCGTGTATAAAATATTAAATTTGATATATTTCCTGTTTGACGCTATTTTGATCTTAAAGCACAAGATACTTTGCCCAGATTAATCAATCAAACGCTTATTCGAAGTATTTATTGATTAAACTAATAATCGAAGTAGCCCTAGTAACCCAAGACGGAGATTATGACGTCATTAAACAAACTTGCTTCATTCGAAAACGCTATTAAAAAACATTAACCACATACATATAATTGTGATGAGAATTGAAATCGCTGAGAAAATAATAATTTCAAATCGAAGAATACGCCTATAAACTTTGACAATTAAAACTACGTCAATCTCGATTATTCGAATGATCGTTGCGTATTGTCTCTCCCTCGAAAATTATGGCGAGGGAACTGAAAGATATGGTTACGATGACTTTTACAATTTATAATAGCCTTGATCTTAAAGACGCCATGTGATCCCGGAAGACCTTTTCTTCTGGGACCGTCGTTTCGCGATTCTATCAAATTTTATCGATACAACTGCGGATTATTAGCTTCGCGAAGAAGAAATTATTGAAAAGCGTTCTCCATTTATTTAGAGAGATTTATTAAATAAATATATCATCGAAATCCCTGGCTCCACATTGTCTATGTTATATTTTTGGAAAACTCTCTTGTCATTGATGGGTAGATTGTCAAACACGGAAATGTTGATGATAATCTCACTTTCTATTTCGTTTCCCATCTCTTAATCCATCATTCATCGTATTAGGCGGATATTCATCATATTCGTGATTCATATTCGTCTGTGTACAATAGTGTGTTCACGCACTGTTTACCGTTTCAGGAGCCAGCACAGCAGGACAGACTCGCTAGATTGAGGCACAAACTGGACCAACAACAGAGCAAGCTGAATCGACTGCGATTACTCAGATCGCAGACGGATCAGTCACGTGTCAACAATGCGACATTGAGTGAGTTCATCATCATTTTTCTCGTATCTTTAACCCTTCAGTATCTGATTTATCTGGTATTCTGAAAAAAAGTATAGAAATTTATACATTTTTATACTCTTTATCGCAACGAAGTTATATATATTTGCATTTATTTGAATTTACTTATGTTTTTTAAATGAACGAAGGATTGGTATTAATACATATGATAATGAGATAATTTTACTCGATATTTTTCGGCGGTAATCTGTATTTTTTTTTGATAGGTAGATTACCAATGTTACTGAAATTATGAGGGAAAAGCTCTTTTATTCATCGAAAATTATATTATTGGGGCCTTTTCGATGGACGAGAGTATTCTTGCGAAATTCTTCTCGTGATTTTCATTAATATATTTGCGTGTATAAAATATTAAATTTAAGTATAGCAAGTTATATATACACTGTAAAAAATTTTCTAAAAACTCAGACACATTTTTATCTAAATTTTCAGATCTAGGTGTCTGAAAAAAATTCAGACAATTTATCTTAATTATCAGAATTATTTTTTCGAAAGTTTAAAAGAGTGTGTCTGAACTTATTTTTACAGGAAAAATATAATAATTTGAAAGATTGGAGCGTTCTTTACGTAAGCGATCGAGTATTAAATCGTACGGACGCACAAAGATAAAAACGATAATCTTCGTCGTTCGAGGTCCGCCGATCCATTTTCGTAGATCGGCGATATTTCGGTGGCAATCCATCTGGTTTCGATGAACGGCGATAAGGGAGATTTATCTTGTCTTCACATTGGAAAGTACGATTAATCTTCGGCATCGGCATCCGAGCCGACGACACATCGAGTATACTCCATAGCTCCGGGTGATATACTTTACCGGTATATAAATGAAATCCAAATACAAACCGATGGTTTGAAAACGTTTCTCTCGCGTGTGCTCTCGCCGCTATTCACGGCCGAGAATCATCCCTGGGAAAATAAATTGGAAGAACCCAATCCAGAGACGGCCGCGCCGTTTCACTTTTATAGGATGCAATCGCGCAGAACTCATCCGCGGTCACGTCACATCGGCCGATAAATCATTCTTCGGACCGGCGTCCAAATATTTGGAACATCGAACCGAGAGAGACCGGAAATTGAGACCGGGAAGTACCTTAATTCATCGACCTAATTTATTTATCGAGCTGCGTGAAATCGATCCGGCCTTCTATCTCGACGTTTTATTTGAAATGAAATAATTCATATCTCGAGAGAGTGAGAGAGAGTTGCGTGTTGGCGCAACTACTTATATATAGTAATCTGTATTTTTTTTTGATAGGTAGATTACCAATGTTACTGAAATTATGAGGGAAAAGCTCTTTTATTCATCGAAAATTATATTATTATTTTTTTTTATTATTTATAAAAAAAGATTTTTTCAAATAATCAATACTTATATTTGTTTTAGCTTTAAAAATACGTATATTAACTCGCTAAATTTAAATTTAATGGTAGATAAAAAAATTGTGTTTTTCTTCAAATTGTTTGATTTTTCGAATCGTACGAATTTATCGCGTATCTATCCTCCGTTTGTGGCGAATTGACACATATGCTATCGCGCATCGCTTTCAATTCGTAAAACCTACGCAAAACCGGCGCTTGGCTCATGTGTGTGTACCTTGTTAATTGAGCATTGTTCGGATCGTTACATCTACGGCGTACTGAAAAACGATAACTGCGGTTTGCAATGCGACACGCAGTCGTGATAATAGTTCCGTAGAAAAGGGACGAAGCGAATACACGCTTCGTTACAGAAATTCTCTAACGAGTCGACACGGCAGCGAAAACCGTTATCGCGTAGATTCTACACTTCACGGTGATCACCGACAAAAAAGCCATAATGATCCGGGATATCTGTACGACCGTCGCGTTTCAACGTTTAATAAACGAATGCGTTGCGAGAACATGCCTGGCGAATAATAGAGGAGATTT